AGAATGGGGCCTATATTAGGTATCCCATTTTGTGTAACAAATTATCCCCCAAATTAACTGCTTAAATGACAAATATTTATTATCTCACACAGTGTCTGAGGATTGGGAATCTGGGAGGTGCCTGGAGGGTGTTTCTGGTTCCGAGTCTCTCAAACAGATGCACAAGGCTGTCAGTCAGGGCGGCAGTCATCTGACAGCCCATATGGGGAGGGATCACTTTCCAAGCTTACAGGCTTCTGATCCTTGCTGGCTGTGGGCTGGAGTCTTGGTTCCTTACGCATGGACCTCTCCATAGGTTGAGTGTTTGACTGTCTTCACAACATGACAGCTGTCTTATCCCAGGTGAGTCATCTGAAGGAATCCAAAGATGGCAGCCATAGTCATTTATAACATAATCTTAGAAGTGACACGTCATTATTTCTGCTTTATTCTCTGGGCCACCCAGATGAACCATGGTACAGTGTGGGAGGGGCAAACACAAGGTCGTGAATACCAGGAAGCAAGGATCTTTGGGGGCCATCTTGGAAGCTGGCTATCACAGGTTCAGAGCAGATTTGCAGCCTGGATTCACCTGGAATGTAGGTTAGAGTATACCTCCTCTATTATTTTTTTTCTTTTCTTTCTTTTTTTAAAATTTATTTTTTTATTGAAGGATAATTTCTCTACAGCATTTTGTTGTTTTCTGTCAAACCTCTACATGAATCAGCCAGAGGTATACATACATCCCCTCCCTTTTGAGCCTCCCTCCCATCTCCCTCCCCATCCCACCCCTTTAGGTTGACACAGAGCCCCTGTTTGAGTTTCCTGAGCCAGAGAGCAAATTCCCATTGGCTATCTATTTTACATATGGTAATGTAAGTTTCCATGTTAAAATATACCTTCTCTAAAAGCCATTGTCAACTGTCGGGAAGAAACTACATCTCAGTCTATTAGTGACCGTGCAAACAGACCCTCAGGGTCAAATGGAAGGTTACTGACATCTCTCTGCTAAAGTTACAGAGCCTCTCTGCAACCTGAGTCCACTGATACACTAAGAAATAACAGTTCAACTTAGTCACTTTCTATGAGAGGCTAAAGTTGAATGGGTCTATGAAGACCTACAAGACCTTTTAGAACTAACACCCAAAAAAGATGTCCTTTTCATTATAGGGGACTGGAATGCAAAAGTAGGAAGTCAAGAAACACCTGGAGTAACAGGCAAATTTGGCCTTGGAGTA